GCCGGCAGATCCAGGTTCGATTCCCCCGCCTCTCTCGGAGAGCCCGCCGGCAAGCTACCGAGAGCATCTCACCCGCATGGCAAAGCCTGGAAAGCTCCCCGTGATGTATTCAATATGCCAAACACAGTAACAAGTCTCAAAATGGAGACATTACTGGGCCCGCTCGAGCAAATCGATGAACAACGGGAGGACAGTGGACAGAGAGTGTAAGTAATTAATTTTTAAAAATTGTGCATTTTTGGTTTGTGTATTGTGCTCAGGGCTTACACCTAGCTCTTCGGTCAGGGATCACTTCGGGTGGTGTTCAGAGGACAATTTGGGATGCCTAGGATCAAACCCAGGTTGGCCGCATGCAAGGTAAGCAGCCTAACCACTGTACCATCACTCTGGAGCCTGTAACTAGTAATTTAAAAAAAAAAACCTAATGTTATTATTTCAAAAATCAGATGGGCTGGTCACATAATGAGATTTAAAGATGACCGCTGGACTAGAGCTGTTACCAACTGGATTCCACGGGATGTCAAAAGACCGCGTGGCCGCCCACCTACCAGATGGTCAGACTTCATCATCAAGATCAAGAACGATCGGTTTGAAGCTCTTCATGTTCCCAGAGCGAACAGATGCCATTGGGCTACACTAGCACGCGACAGGGACAAATGGACACGTTACTGGCGCCCGCTCGAGCAAATCGACGACTAACGGGAAGTTAAGTGATTAAGTGATTAAGTAATGTTATTATTATATTATAGAGAAGGGACCAATACCAGTAAGACAATGATAGTTGGAAATGATCTCTCTGGACAAGAACTGAGTACTGAAAGTAGGTAAAGGGATGTACATGACAACTTCTCAGTACTTACATAGCAAACCATAATTTCCAGAAAAGGGGGGAGAAGGGGGAGAGGGGACAGAGAGAGAGAGAGAGGGAGAGAGAGAGAGAGAGAGGGAGAGAGAGAGAGAGAGAGAAAGAGAGAAGAAAAGTGCCTGACATAGAGACAGGCTGGGGGGCAGAGTGGGGGTGACAAAGGAATGGTAGGAGGGAAACTGAGGACACTGGCAGTGGGAAATGTTCATTGGTGAAGGGATGGGTATGGGAAAATGATCTGATTAAAACCCAATCATAAACAACTCTATGACTGTGTATCTCACAGTGATTCAATAATAATAATCATAGTAATAATAATATTACTCTTTGAAAAATAAAAGAAGAATCACTCTCATTATCCACCTCCCACATATAAATAAACTGAGTCTCTTGCCCCACATCTATGATGGGAGGTTTTCAATAAATATGTATGCAACAAAAGACCCAATATCGCTATTTGGAATTTTCCCCAACATTCAGACCTGCCACAAAGACATAATTAGAAAATTTGTTTTCTAGAGAGAGAGTAAAGTGAAAATCTTCCACACAGGCAGGGGATGGGTGGGAGGGGGGTATACTGGGGTTCTTGGTGGTGGAGAATGTGCACTGGTGAAGGGATGGGTGTTTGATCATTGTATGACCAACTGAGACTTGAACGGAAAGGCTTTGTGACTGTTCTCACGGTGATTCAATAGACCAAAAAAAAGGACTAAATAAATAAATATGTATACAAGTCAATAACCTACCATCATCACTACCATTCCCAAAAAAAGTAAACCAAACACTAGAAGAAAAAAAATCCTAATGACTGTTGACTCTATGCACAGAAATGAGATAGATTTACCAAAATAAAAACCAAATTTGAGGGGCTAGAGCGATAGCACAGCAGGTAGGGCATTTGCCTTGTATGCAGCCGACCCTGTTTCGATTCCCAGCATCCCATATGGTCCCCTGAGCAACGCCAGGAGTAATTTCTGAGCGCAGAGCCAGGATGCACCCTGTGCATCGCCGAGTGTGACCCAAAAAGAAAAAAATAAATTAAATTTAGTTTTGGGTAAATCTGACCCAATGTTATAAAATTTATTCATTATTCAGTCCTACACAGGAACAATAGGTTGTCACATAAACCATATGTGATGCAGAGGACGGAACAGCTCTCCATAAATTATACTGAGGATGGCTCCCTACTCAATTAGCAGAGGAAAACAAAGCCCTACCTCTCCTTTCTGCCACATCTCTTCAACTATGCCATTTTGAACTAAGTACATTTCAAATCATAAAGAGATGTTTCATTCTAGGAAATCATAAAAAGGGCAAATACTTCTAGTTCTGCCACTGAAATAAAATAATATTTATACCTTTTTACTTTTCAAGAGAGACTCAGTTTATATGTGGGAGCTGGATAATGAATGAGAGTGATTCTTTATTTTTCAAAGAGTAATATAAAGGTATATCCCCATCTTATTATCTCATTCCTACTTTGGACAAACTGGCAGGCTACCGAATGTAACCTGCCCACACAGCAGAGTCTGGCAAACTCCCCGTGGCGTACCCAATATGCCAAATACCAGTAACAATGATGGGTCTTATTCTCCTAACTCTGAAAGAGCCTTGAATCTCAGGGCTAGGACGAAGGAGACGTTACTGGGGCCTGCTCGAGGCAATCGACGAATAACAGGATGGTCGTGATCGTGATCGTCGTGATCCCCAGTGCACATTTAGCAATAACATTTATACCTTTTTACTTTTCTATATTTTCTCTCCTATGATTTTCTTTACTCTTTTCTAATCAGACACCATTTCCTGGCACAATAAGTGAAGATCATCTTTCTGAAATATCCCTTTAACCAAATTCTAATACTCTGTCAGTCACACATTGTCATTTTTAGGGGGTGGGGGCAGCACCCTTGGTGGTGTTTGGGGACTACACCTGACCCTAATGCTCAGGTATTGCTCCTGTTGATACTCAGGGAACTGTGAGATGGATCGAATCAAACTGAGGACTCCCACACGCAAAGCATGTGCTTCAGATTTGAGCATCTCCAGCCCAATATTTTGTCCTCCATGTAGGGCTGGAGCGATAGCAGGGCTGGAGCGATAGCACAGCGGGTAGGGTGTTTGCCTTGGAAGCGGCCAACGTGGCCGACCCGAGTTCGATTCCTCTGCCCCTCTCGGAGAGCCCGGCAAGCTACTGAGAGTATCTCGCCCGCACGGCAAAGCCTGGCAAGCTACCTGTGACGTTCTCGATATGCCAAACACAGTAACAATTGTCACAATGGAGATATTACTGGGCCCGCTCAAGCAAATTGATGAACAACGGGAGGACAGTGACAGTGACAGTAGGCATCAACCAGGAGACCTAGTGATTTAATCTCACAGATCTAAATCCTTCAAATCTGCTTCCCGTCCCATCACTTCTACCTTAAAGCCAGCTTCCAAGAAAACACAGTGTTTGTCTTGCAAGTCCCTTTCATTGAACTGCATGCATTTTACTTAATTGGAGGTTAAACCACTCCCTTTATTTGCCCCAGATCCAGCCTCTTAAAAGTCTAGTTTTAGTGGTGAACTGAACTTATGAGAGTGTTCCTCAGAAAAGTCCCCAGACAGTACTGTGTACTTTCAATGTTTACAACCACATTAGCAATAATTTTTTCCCTGAAATTCAACATTTCAAAGTTAAAAAAAAAAAAGCTAAGAGTTGTGAAGACCACCTTTAGAGTCAATTAGCACCTGTAAATTTTTCATGGGAGACTCGCTTTTTGAATCTTCAATTGTGAAAAAAAAAATTGAGCGCAAAAGATAAAAGTATTTAAACTACTTGAATATATAAAAAGGAAATCAACTGATATACAATTTTTTTAATGTGTGTGCTTTTTGGGTCACACCAGCAATGCAGAGGTCACTCCTGGCTCATGCACTCAGGAATCACTCCTGGTGGTGCTCAGGAGGACCATATGGGATGCTGGGAATCGAACCCGGGTTGGCCGCGTGCAAGGCATACGCCCTACCTGCTGTGCTATCGCTCCAGCCCCTGATATACAAAACTTGAGGCAGAATGATAATGAATCAAAAGTTGATGATTTTAACTTTCATCAACTTTTAATTGCATAAAATTACATAAAGAGGGAGGGGGAAATTTCTCCTTAGCTCTTTCAGATGATGAGGAAAATCACACAGAATGCCTTTTTCAATTCTAAGTGGGTTTTATCAAATCTCCGTAGCAGCATTTTCTTTATTTTGGGAATTGATTCCAAAACATTTCTCAAAGTCTGTGCAAAATGATTCAAGCCCAAATTTGTATTTAACTCATGCTCATGGCTTTTTAGCGAAGTGATTCAAGAAAGGCGAGATAAAATGAGTTACAGATAATCACCACCACCATCTACAGAACACCTTCAGCACATTAAGCCGTTTACATTATTTCTTGCTTCATTTTATCAAACTGGCTTACAAATAAGATAAAAGGTGAGAAAGTTGAAGTGATGTAAGTCTTGGTGACCCGGTTAGTAAACATTAAAGTCAGGAGACAGAGGCCAGGAGACACAGACCAAAAATTCACAATCCTGGGTCCCCTTTGCTCCCTCTGATGAAGAGGACAGACCCATCTATCAGCACCATCTGCACCACCAGGAGGTAAGAGAGGGGAATCCCTGAATTATAGCGCGCACACACACAGACACACACACACACACACACACACACACACACACACAAACATGCTGGCGGTGGGGAGGGCAGAGAAAAACGCTTCCTTCTTGGTTTTGTTCAAAGTGAGTCAAGCAAAATGAGACTACAAATTCAGCAACAAGATGGAGATCCATTCACATAATCTGTTGTTAGAATCTACCCACAAAGATTCTCAACTAGAACTACACATTAGAATTACAGTCTTCCCTGGGAGATTTTGATGTGACTGGTTTATAGTGGGGGTCCCAGAATTTTAAAACAGTTCTCCAGTGGATCTGAATGAAAAATCACTTCCTTAGATACTGCGTAACTGTGTGCATATATGGATGTAAATGAACTTAATATTTATTATCCGTTCTTTTTCCCTATCACAGTATTCCTGGTAAAAGCAGACACAGAAGCACAAAAGGTTGATGAGAAAAGGGTCTATGATGTGGGGTATTATTACCTGGGTTGTATCTTCCATCAGTCCACGAATCTTCTCCACGACATCATTGCGCCGGTGTTGGCGTAGGGCACTGATTAACTGGGCGAGGCTGGCCTCAGGGCCCCTGATGGTCCAGTGCTGCAGAGCTGCATAGGCCCGTTCGTGGTCCGCTGTGTACCCATTGGAGAAGGCAGCCACCTCCCTCTCACTGGCATTGCACAGAAACTGATAGATGTCCTTCCACTGGCTTCCTACTTGGGCTGCTACAAGCTTCAAGATGTCAATACCTGCATCAGAGACAAAACAAAATATGGTCATGAGAGAAGGCACATCTGTCTTAAGGACCTGAAAGGAGCATGTCTTCCCATTGCCATACATTGCATAGTCTTATTTAAACACTTGTTGCATGTAACCCATCCTGGTCTAGTCGTCAAGTAGCACTGTAGCACTGTAGCACTGTTCTCCTGTCACTGTCACTGTCATGGTCCTTCCATTGTTCATCGATTTGCTCGAGCGGGCCCAGTAACGTCTCCATTGTGACACTTGTTACTGTGTTTGGCATATTGAATACATCACAGGCAGCTTTACTGTGCGGGCGAAATACTCTTGTAGCTTGCCAGGCTCTCCGATAGTTCATCGATTTGCTTGAGCAGGCAACCAGTAACAATTCCATTGTGAGACTTGTTACTGTTTTTGGCATATGGAATATGCCACGGGGAGCTTGCCAGGCTCTGCCGTGTGGGCGGGATACTCTCAGCAGCTTGCGGGGCTCTGAGAGGGATGGAGGAATTGAACCCAAGTCAGCCATGTGCAAGGCAAACGCCCTACCTGCTGTGCTATCACTCCAGCCCCAATCCGGTCAGGTAGCTCCTACAAATTTCACTTCCTGAATATCGAACCTAAGAAGCAACCTCAAGAGTATAATCAGTCAGTCACCCCTAAGAGATTTTCTTTGCCAGAAATTGAACCCTTCAAGGATATATAGCAAGTGTTCCACATCTAAGCTATAAAAGATGTCCTCTAAAAGATGTTTTGAAAGCCACACCCAAACAAAACAGAGCATTAGCTAAAAACAATGGGAACCTATTAAATTAGAGCCTCCCAGACTAAAATGAGATTTAGAAAAAGAGTAAGCCACTAATTAAATTTGCAGTGGTGTTTGTCCATCAAAGCCTGGGGACGAATATTTAGATGCTGGCAAACATGGCCACTATTGTCAAGAGATGGGGCAGCCAGTTGTTGCAGTCCAACAAAAAAATTCCCCAAGAACTTCCAACTTCTTGTTCCCTAATTCTATACCAACAAGAATTTTCTGAACTAGTCTGGGTCTCCTAAATTGACTGCATTGATACCATCAAGTCAACAGTCAAAAGGATAATACAATAATAATTGTGATTACCTTTTAGGTGTTATGTTCAGGCATGAGCTCACCGAACATCTTAAAAAAGCATTAACAGGTTAAAAAGAAAAATTCAAAAAGTTTGGCAATTTGCCAAATGTCCTAAATAAGAGGGCTGGGAATTGAACCCAAGCTACAGGAAAATGTTCCTCTAGCTTATCAGTCACTATTTAACTTGGGCAGCATAGTCTGCGGTTGCCAGATCTGATGAAGGCAGGGTAAAATGCCAATCACATGTCAAACTCAAGACAGGCACCTGGCACCCACCTTCTGGGAGATGCAGTTTTCCCCAAGTACCACTGAGAAAATACTTTGATTATCTTTCCCTTTACATCACCTTCTCTTCAATTGTACTTAGGCCTTGCCATCTGTCAATGGGTACAACCCATTTACAGTAAGAGTTCTAGTCATTTACAACAGGTGATGAGTCCAGAGTCAATACTAGGTCTTTTTTTCTTTCTTTCTTTCTTTTTTTTGGCTTTTTGGGTCACACCTCATGATGTACAGGGATTACTCCTGGCTCTGCACTCAGGAATCACCCCTGGCAGTGCTCAGGGGACCATATGGGATTCTGGGAATCGAATGCAGCTTGGCCGCGTGCAAGGCAAATGCCCTACCCACTGTGCTATTGCTCCAGCCCCAATACTAGGTCTTTATGAGGCCCATCTCCCATGCCCAGTCATCAGTTATTATAGTTATTAAGTTCCTAAAAACATTCATAACTCATATCATAATAAGCAATAGAAAATAAATCTAGAATCTTCCTGTGGCAGGCAAGCTTGAACAGTGGTTGGAAAACTCAAAATAATGATGGTGGGAAGGTGTAATGGTGGTGGAATTGGTGCTGAAATACTGAATATAATCAATTAATATGAACAACCTTACAAAAAAAAACCCGTAAAAATAAAAAAAAATAAAAAAGCAAAAAAAAATTCATAACTCAATCAGGAGTAAAAAAATCAAGTTCCGAATTAACTAGAGGTTAACAAGAATAACACCTTTTTGGCTTGAGTCAGTTATTGAATAAAATATTTATAAAATGGGCTACCCACTTTCGGTTCAAGAGAATTTCTTTTGGGAAGGACAGACTATGTGGTTCCTTACTACAAATCCTTACTTGGCCATGCCTTCCCCTTCAGGCAGCTGATTTGGAAAACTGCATGTACCTCTTGAACCAACTGCTCAAAGCACTGTCTTTGAAAATATTCAAATTCCTTGTTGAAGATTGCTTGCTTGTCAATGGCAAAAGCGGGGTGCCACAAACGGAGGCAGGACTGTACTTCTTAAACTATTTTCCCTGGCAGCATGGAATACTTGATCCAGTGACTTTCTCAGTGCTCGTGTTTACCCAATAGAGAGCTTTTGACTTCAAGCAGATGCCCCACAAAACCCACGTCCTATTTAAAACTCAACAGGTAACTTGAAAGAGCAAGCCAGCACTTTGTGGTTGATGTGGTCGATTCTTCCAAACACCAAAAGGCTTGTTCGTCCTTGAATCTTAATTTAGGTCGAATTTGACAAAGGCCCACAGTGTCTAACATGAAAACATGACTGCATTTTCGTGTATGTGGGAGCAGTGCCGAGATCTTCATGAAGTTGGCGACCATGTGGCTTTGGGCAAACCACTAACTGTCATGTGCATTTCCTCATTTGCACAATGGAGAGCCTCTCTCGGTTCCCTGGGGTGGAGCTGATTAACATTTTCTATAGAGTTGATTTATTTTTGGAAGTACCCCCTCATTATAAATGCTGCACGCCCTGGGCACAAAAACTTAAGACTAAATGCATTTCTGATGTAAATACACAGTCTTTATAGAGTAATTACAGAGTTTAAAAGGCTTAAGCTGAACAACAGCTCCTTCATCCAAAACCCAGTGTTTATACTTTTTTTTTGAGCCACAAAAAGAAAAAAAAATAAGAAAAAGACATAAAAAATACAAAGAATGGATACAATGTGTTTTTTTTCCTTTAACAAAAATTGACTCCAAGTTAAATTTAAGAGCCATAAACCATGTTTCAAATTATTTTTTTTAATGTAGGAATACTGCTATTTATTCAGCCACTGATTAGCTGATTGAATTGGGCATGAACTCCACCTTACTTTTTTTTTTCATGATTTTATTTATTTATTTTCCTTCTTATTTATTGAATCACTGTGGGAAAAGTTACTAAGCTTTCAGGTTTAAGTCTCGGTCATACAATGATCAAACACCTCTCCCTTCACCAGTACTCATTTTTCACCACCAAGAACCCCAAAATACGCCCCTTCCCACCCCTCCCAAGGCCTGTGAGGCAGATGATTTCCACTTAACTCTTCTCTACATTGATTGCATTCGTTATTTCGACAAAAGATGCACCATTATTGTTTAGAATTTCCCCCCAACAATTGTTTTTCTACTATGAAAATATGGAGTCATAACTAATGACCTAGCCAGGGCCCCTCCTACATGGAATGTGATAACTCTAAAGATGGCAGAGACAACCCCATCCAGGCCCTCAGCTTAGCACTTGATCACAAAACCAAAGGAAGCAAGGACAGAATAGTCAGAACTATCTAGGGAATTTGCTGGATTATGTCCCCATCCCGCCACTGTCACCAAAGGGAAAAGGAAAAACTATGGAAGCGTTCGAGTGTTTTGAAGTTGAAGAGATTAATACAGTGGGTGAGGCACTGGCCTTGCATGTGATGAACCTGAACCTGGGTTCTACTCCTGGACTCCAGACCCCATACTGTTCCCATTCCCTACCACCACCACCCACCCCCCCAGCCCTGTCCTTGGCCACCAGGAGTAATCCTTGATGAGCCAGAAGTAAGCTGAGCACCACCTCAGTGTGTGGCTCACCTCCCACCCCCTCGGAAAAAAGAAGAGTATTTTTTGAGCAGCCACTATGTGTTCTTGTGGTAGATTGACTGGATATTATCAGGAAATTGTAAAACAAAAAGTCTATCACCAAGAGAAGGAAGTAAGATCAATGCAATACAAAAGTTGGACTTTGAAAGTGTTTTAGGTATCACTGTGTCTGTCATCCTGTTGTTCATCGATTTCCTCGAGCAGACACCAGTAACGTCTCCTTCGTCCTAGCCCTGAGATTTTAGAAAGTGCCACATTTGAGGATGATGTCATTAACTGGAGAGTTAGCTCTTGGGGGAAGAGAAGGGAATGACACAAGGAAGGTTGGTGGACAGAAGGGACCACAGGATTTGTTGTTGTTACTGTTTTTAATGATCTTTAAACTAAGTTCCATTGCCAAAACGGGATGGACAAAAGTGGACCCCTTTTTTTTTTTAAGTTTTTTAATTTGGCGGCCACCCTCGGTCTTGTTCTTACACTTAGCTCTGCACTCTAAGACCATTCCTGGTGGACTTGGGGATCGGACCTAGGTCAGCTGAATGCAAGGCAAGTGCCTATTCACTATACAATCTCTCTGGTGGAATGGGTCTTCTTTTTATCTGTGCATGATTTAATGCTTATTATTCCTTTTAAATATATAGTATAGTATATGCATGTTTAAATATAAATATACTGTATACATTTATATACAAATATAAATAAATAGTAGCACTATAGCACTGTCCTCCTGTTGTTCATCAATCTGCTCGAGCGGGCACCAGTAATGTCTCCATCGTGAGACTTGTTGTTACTCTTTTTGGCAAATCGAATATGCCACAGAGAGCTGGCCAGGCTCTGCATATGGGCGGAATACTCTCCTGGCTCTGAACTCAGGAATTACTTCTAGCAGGGCTCAGAGGCCAGTGCCAGGGATTGGACCTGCCTCATGCAAGGCAAAGTACCTTATCTGCTGTATGCTCTCTCTCGCCCTGAATCAAGTTATTAAAACCTTGCCACAAAATGCCAAGTATCACACTTCAGGACCTATGGTTCTCCT